TTGCGAGGAGTGTGTAGGAGAATTATGCTGCAACTAGATGACATAAAAAATGATACGACATTTTTAAAAAAAAATTATATATTAAAATCTAATTTGTTATTAACTCATATAAAATTCATTCATGGATTTAGGTTGCGTAACTTTTAGTATGAAGCATAAAAAAAAAGAAGCAAAACCAATACACCAAAGATAATGCTCTACTATGCTGGAATGACATTGTGGTTTGGAGAGATTTTAGGGCGCCATACATCCCAGATGATAAATGGATGTAATATATCCAGCATATGACGTATGAGTGGTTCACACAACATTCATAGTCCAATGCCGAGAATCAAAACCAGCAAATTCATGGTTCAGTTACCATACAAACCGATGACTCTGTTTCGTTCATTACATATAAGAAGTAGATGGTAAGATTAGTTTTAATAATATCTATCTTTAATTAATATGTTATTATTTGAAATATATTTAACATGCAACATTTTTTTTTACAAGTTGTCTCTTGGACATGATCCAAGGCCAATGGAGCTATTGTAGAGACATGCACATGGAGTGAAGGTCGTTAAAAAGGGGGAGCAACAGTTCATCGATAACTACACTCGACACTTCGTAGTATGTTCATTCAACCATTTTCTTTTATAAGTTATTATTTTCTTGAATTGAATTTGATGATTTCATTTTTTTAATTTTCAAGAGACATATAACAACAGGTTGAGGGAGAGATACAGGATGATCCTTTGACCTACTTAGATTTTGATCCTGATTTATGGATAGAGGCAAGATTGTCTAGTGGACCCAATAGAAATCAGGTGTACAAACTCTCTTACACTATAGACACAACGGTCGGGAACTTGCAGGCGACCTGTAGTGTCTCAACCGTTGGGAACTCCTAATTGGTATCGAGCACCTAGTTTCAGAAGTTTATGGCCTTGCAACAACATATGGCTCATCTAACCAAAAAATATGAGCGACTCTCAACAAATTCTAAACAACTCTGTCAAATGGTCATGAAAATGAGATCATAGATGAGTGGTACGTGTGTGCTCCTTTTTTAGTCATATGGTCTCGAGAATGACCAACCTCTTTCTCCTCCTCCTCTAGTGTTGCCATTGTTTTAGTTTATTTTTTATTTGTACTAATATAATTATAATGAATATTTTGATTTTATATTATTCAATTTTTTTATTTACATATTTCAATTTTATACAATTTTATTTGTTTAATTATTTTTTTATTAACAAAAATGGTCGATATTTTCTAGAGAGTTGGAAAAAATTTACTGCATATGGCACAATCACCGATGGGAATACAAACAAAATCAATTTATTGGTATATTCTAAAGAGTTGGAAAAATTACTATACATGCCATTATCACAAATGGAAATATTTTGACTGAATAATTCCATTAGCATATTTCCAGTGGGAAAAGTTTTTTTGGCGTACATTTTCCATCTATAATACCATCGGGTTTTGTTTTCTGACATAATTAGCGATAAATGATGGAATTACTGATAAACATTATATTGATGGATGCATTCCGTCTAGAAATATACCATTGTTCAAAAGATTTTTTTAAAATATATTTTTTTTAATTGTTACATACGAATATACCAACGGATTTTGTTCTTCAGTGTATTCTAGAAAGTTTGAAACAATTGACTTCATATGCCACTACAACATTATTACATCACTAATGGAATAATTCCACTGGTATATTAAATCGGGTAATTTTGTTTTTGAAGTGTGTTTTTTGTTTATAGGACTATCAATGTTTTTTTTACCAATAAAAATGCTGAAAAAAATGAAATTATTAGCAAAAAATTTATCGATGGATGGTTTTCATCCGTAAATCCATCAATAAATTTTCTGTTGATAGAATGATAGTGTAATACCAATGAAAAACTTTTGTCGGTTAAATGTGGTAGTGACTGAGGTTAAGAAACAAAATCTATGATACAGTTGTGACATTAAAGTGACTACATTCAAAAGTAAATTAAATATAATTATGAAACTTAATTATCAAACAACTCAATGTTAAAAAATAAAAAATATATATAATTTAAAAGGGCAACAGGAAAAAAATGAGTCATGTAGGTTTACTTGCAAACTCCGTAATGATAAGCACATGATCGAGATAAACTAATAGATAAAACAAAAAAGAAAAGGGTTGAAGACCACTTTCCAATAAATTAAATATTGAATGATGAAATAAAAATAAATCAATTTAAAAAAAAAACAAAAAAAGTCAACCCCTATTAAGCTTTGAAATCGGTGACCCTGATCATGAACCCAAGAATAATCCCATAAAAAGAAACCATAAAAAATAATAATGCAAAACTATAAAAAAGGTTAAGAAATAAAATAAAACAATATCTTAAAAAAAAAGAAAATAATTAAGAAAATTCGAGCACACCTTTTAAACCTAGTCTATTCTTTAAAACTTGTAGCGATGAATTCCTGGACCCGAGTTAAATGAAAAAATTTAATTCTTAATTAATGGTGAAATCTTGTAAAAATTAATTTTAAAAATTTTAAAAAGCAAAAAACATTGCACTAAAATGAATTGAGATTAAATTTAATAGAAAAATAAATCCATGGAGGATGAAATTATACATATAAAAAACAATCTAAAAAATGTTCTTGAGATTTACTTCTTACATCTTGAACTTAGATTAAAAATAAAAAGAATAAAAAACTGGAGAAATTATTGTACCTCTGGAGACAAATAAGTTCAAGATGTAAGAAGCGTTCAAGATGTAAGAAGCAAAAACCTCTACGGTTAAAGTTATTGATTTAATCTTGATGAGTAAAAATAGAATTGTTGAATCGTGTCGCAAATCTCTACTAGGAAAAATATGTAGTGTGGTGGGATTCCTACATTCGTGACGATTCGTTTGTAGCTTTGAGAAGTTCATCTTTAGGGATTTGATTTGTTCTTAATTTAGATGGATTTTTTAAAAAATTGTTCATGGAGGTAGGCAATTCTTGATCCAAACATGGTAAATATTGCAAGTGTGTTTTTTTTTGTAAGTTTTGCTCAAAATCGTGAACAATTTTGGAGGTACTATCACGTGGTGGGATCCGAAAAGAAATGTTGAGCTAACACCAGCATGGACCTCTTTGGATTGAACAATCATGGCGTGGAATTGATTTTCAAACATGTGAGATGCCTTTTGGAGGATAAAATCGTAAGATCGCATGGCAAGAATACCTTACAAGAATTGGGCCAAAACCATCACATTTGAATCAAGAATATCAACCGACCAGGGAAAAAAAAAACCGTAGCTTAATTTTAAAATTTACAAAAGTATTACATTTTTTTTCCAAAATAATTTAAGGATTTTGTATTTTGTAATTTAAAAAATAAATTTATCCAAAAAATTTAAGAGATAAAAGTTAAATTTCGACGAGTGCATTCTATAGTAACTTCGTTAGAGTGGGGATTAAAGATATTGACAAAAACAATAAATAGTGCAAAATAACTTTACCTTCTGGTATTGTCACTGAACGAGGAGGTGGAGGAGGAAGAGCCACGGGCGGGGGAGGAGGAGGCGGTGACTCCCTTGCGACTGCCGTTGCATTATAAAATAAATAAATTTCATAACGAATATAACAACTAGGAAACAAGACTCTTCCTCCGATCTTGCTGCTGCAGCAAATGGGCAAACCAGCTATAGCTGCACTGAGACATTGATTGCAATCAAAGCTAGATAAATCCGGTGTGCACTGGGCAAGGCTGTATATATTTTGGAACGCATCGAAATACGTTTTTTTCGCAGCAAACTTTTTAGCACCTGGAGCACTTGCAGCTCGAGCAGCCAAATCATTAACGGTGGCTCCCACTAGATTGTTAAAACGCTGGGGTTCGTTAGTAATATTCTGTGCGTTTGACATGGAGAGAGAGAAAAAAAGGCTTTGATCCATCTTAGAGAAGATGTTCCTGTTTGAGTAACGTAGGATGCACGCATCGTAATACACAATGGACGCTATTCCGATTGGGCAACGCTGGACTATATCTTTGGTGGCGAAGGTGACACAATTTTGGCAAACAGTAGTGCTGCTAAGATCCCCACGGCAGATAAACAGGCCGTACACTTGATCAGTGTTCTGCCCGAAAGAGGTGTTGTAGAATCCAATGGTATTATTTCGGGTTGCATTCGAGGCAAGTGAAGAGAGGAGGAGATTTAGATTGGCTCGGTAGGTGCTGTTTATCGTGGAGGTCGTTGCGTTTTGGCAACCATGACCGAGGAAAATGGAATCCTCCTGTGCTAAAGTGATTGTAGCAAGGGTAAGCAACGAGAGCAGGATAATGTAGAATTTGAGAGAGTTCATCTTTTGGGTGATCAGCTAGCTAGCAGCCTTCATGGTGGAAGAAAGAAAGTTGTATCTTTTCATCAGTTTTAGCAAAACTGGAGATTGAAGTCAATGAAAAAAGTTACGCCACATTTATTGTTCTCTGCCGTGTTGCTTTCTGCTACTTTAATTGTGTTCATTTCTTATAAATTTCTATATCAAGTTTTTCTACAGAGAGGACCAGCACCGGCACTTGTTGATTGATTGTAATCTTTGTTATGTGTGGATATAAATGGCGGTGACAGCCATGGTTGGTGGCAGTCATGGTTGACATGGTTAGAGTCAAATGGTGGGTGCCTAACCAAAGAAAATGTTGCCCACCATTGTTGAACAATTGTCTCCCTCCTCAGCTATAAATAGAGGGTGCATTAATAGCTAATATAGACCACGAAATAGAGAGAAACACATAGAGAGCTTTGAGAGAGAGTTGAGAAGTTTTTCTCCTCCTTGTTTTTGTTGTTTGTATTGCTTTTGAGCTTGATTAATACAAACCAGAAGCTCCGTGGAGTAGGCAAGTTGCCGAACCACGTAAATTGATGTGTGTTTGAATGCCAGAATGACCTAACAACTGGTATCAGAGCTTGTTCTTGAAAGTTTTTGAAAAACAAGGGTGTTTGATCCAAATTCAAAAATCAAAGTTCTCAAAACGTGTTTTTGAATATACCACCGTGAAGAGGACGACGAGAGGAATCCACTGGTGAAAACCCGGTGAAAATCCGACGTCCTGCATGCCCTCGTTTGAACATGCCACCAGCACTGCCCACGCGCACATGTCTACATGTCTGACACGTCAGCTTAGCCATGTCAGCATAACTGGGTTTTGATCCGGTGTGGCGCAACGACTATTCCTCCTGCCACGTGGCTTCATCTGCAGCGTCCAGTTATCCTAAATTTTGATTGTTTAAATCGGAGCCATCCGAAGTCTGATTTGGGTGATCTCAGTGTCGTTTCCAGCATTTTTGGGCCATTCCGGACACATCTGTAAGGTCAGATTTTTGAGATTCGAATATGAGAATGAGTAAAAATGGCTGATGAAATAAAGGCTGCAGGAATTGAAAAATTTGATGGAACTGACTTTGGATATTGGAAAATGAAAATTGAAGACTATCTATATGGGAAGAAACTTTATCTTCCTCTGTTGGGGAGCAAGCCAAAAAACATGTCAGAAGAAGATTGACAAATTCTTGATAGACAAGTCTTGGGCATTATCCGGCTATCATTATTAAGAAGAGTTGCTCATAATGTTACAAAAGAGAAATCCACAGCAAGATTGATGGAAGCCTTGTCTGGGATGTATGAGAAGCCATCAGCAAATAACAAAGTGCACTTGATGAAGAAGATGTTCAACCTGAAGATGACAGAAAGCACCTCTGTTACACAACATCTTAATAATTTTAACACCATCACAAATCAATTATCATCTATTGAAATTGAGTTTGATGATGAGATCCGAGCATTTATTTTGCTAGCTTCACTTCCAAGCAGTTGGGAAGGTATGAGAACAGCTGTAAACAACTTAGCTGGAAAATCCAAATTAAAATATGATGATATCCGAGACCTGATTTTAGCTAAAGAAGTACAAAGGAAAGACTCGGGTGAAAGCTCAAGTTCAGGTTCAGCTCTCAACATCAATACTCGAGGAAGGAGACAAGACAGAGGCTTATCCAGAGGCAGATCAAAATCCAGGTACAAAAATAAAAGCAAGTTTGGACATAGGAAGCAGGTTGAATGTTGGAATTGTGGCAAACCTGGTCATTTCATGAGGAGTTGCACAAAACCAAAGAAACCTGAAGCTGATTCTGCAAATGCCACTACAAACGAGGTACAAGATGGTTTGATCCTTGCTGTATATAGTCCTATTGATGATTGGGTTCTTGATTCTAGAGCTTCATTTCACTGTACTCCACACCATGAAATGATGCAAAATTATACTGCTGGAAATTATGGGGTAGTCTATCTGGCCGATGGACAACCATTGGATATTGTGGGTATAAGAGATGTACAAATCAAGACAATGAATGGATCTATATGGAACTTGCAAAATATAAGGCATGTTCCTGAACTAAAGAAGAAGTTGATCTGAAGTGGCCATTCAATCCTTTTTTCTGGAGGAATGTGGAAGGTATCAAAGGGAGCAATGGTTTTGGCTTGTGGAAAGAAAACTGGCACCCTGTATATGACCACAAGATCAGTAGATATAATTG